ATGCTTTTGAATCCTAACATGTAATGATGCGAAGAAGAAGAAGAAGCATTATGAATGGAATTGTTGACACGTTTTAAGCAAGTCAAATCAAAGTTTTATTTCCTAATACCAGAACTTATTCTATCAACAATAATATAAAGTGTAGTCTCCCACTTTAATCCGTGTGATTTCTGGAATGCAATGCTAACCTGCTGTCGAAATTAGCTTTTCAAAAGCTATTCAAATCTATCAGGATAATGTTGATTTTTATTTTAAATAATTTCAAGATATCTGACCAGATATTTCTCAGGTAACTTGTTTCAGTATCTCAGCAAGCTGTAAACCATATTTTAGAGAAGTGTGTGTATACTGCTAACAACATGGCTTTTGCTGTTTTTTGTTAATAGTGATAAAAGTCTGAATGTGACACTGGCAGGTTTCTGATGCTGTGCGGCTCACGGTATTCAGCAAGGCGTTCTGCAAGGCATGCTCCTCCTGTCTCTGCTTCGATATCTGTTTTCCTCCACATCGGCTTGGCTGGCTGATTGTTTACCAGTGGATTGTCTCCTTATTCCCTTTGAATTACTACATTCACATGCACAACAGTACTTCAAATGCAACTTTTAAAACATTGTTATCAAACAAAGTGTAGTTGTAGGTCACACACATTATTAAGTCTGTCACAAGGTAGAGCCTGTTGATGTTTGTCTTTACCAGGTTGTGTTATAATGCTTCTACTTAAGCTTTATTTGGACAATTTGTATATTTCCAGCTGATTGACTCTTGGATGTTTGTCATGAGCAAAGTAGAGCTGCATCTTTTGGTTTTGGATTGACGGAAAGTCCTCTTAAACTTTGAGAAACTGTATCAACTTGGATCAAATATTAGTTTGATAAGAGAAATAATCCCCTCAGAGGAACACACATGTTGTTGCTTGTAGCATAGGGGTGGATAGGATTGCATGAATAGATTTGCAACCTTTCACGGAAGTATTCACAACGATAAACAAAGCTGCGTAGATATCAATATCTGAGCCTTATCCGGAATCAGGAAATCATTTACTCTTACAACATAAAATGTAGCTGCCAATAAATAGTTTATCTTATGACATTGGTCAAAAAATACAGCTGCTGCATTTCCTGTGATCGGCATGTGAGATACAAACAGATTATTGTGTGCATGTAAAAGTAGTCGCTGGCAGCTGTGATGTTCGACTGAGGACTGACCCCAGAACATTGGCAAGTGTGTTTGAAGAACCCCTCATCGGTGCTTGTCAGCCACTGTGGTCCTGTGTGAAATACGACTGTCTGCTGCATATCGGTTCATATGCAGCCTGCCACAGCCCGGCCTCAGGCTGTGTGTGATTGGGTATCCTGGGCAGAAAATAAAGAAACTGTCCTTTTTGATTTTTGCATGGCATGTGCTATACTCAGTTTTGCATTTCACTTTAATCTCGTAGGGGTAGGTGGGGTACAATGGGGGGAACATTTCTAAACTTATTTTAATTTGTGACAGCATTATAACAACAGAATCTCTACTAATCATTTACATCATCCAATAACAAGCCCATAATCCAGGGGTGCACAATTTGCCTTGATTGCAAAACGTTTTCTCAACCCATTTGACCCAATCTACAGAGATTTATTTTCCATTGGGTGAAATACAGCACACTCATAACCTCTTGGAAGTTCTCTCACAGGTAACACGCTCTGCTTTCCTCTACAGTAATGATGGCCAAGGAGAAACCCCCCATCACTGTAGTCGGAGACGTGGGAGGGAGGATTGCCATCATTGTGGTAAGATGCCGTGATGAGCTGACGGTCAGCTGCCCTGCCATGTTTGATCATTATTATTATTATTATTATTATAGCACTTTTTTCTCCTTTGTCATTTAAAAGTGAATAATCAAAAAGTATTCCATATTGTTTCCTGATGGATAAAAACTCATGTTTGTTAACGGCAGCAGACGTTAAATCGACCGGACTTCTTTCTGCGGATTGATATGACGTATCCTCCTTAGCAACGGTCATGCTTTCCTTAGTAGCTGTCTGTTATCGAGTATTAACAACCTCTGAAATGTACTAATCAGAACTGAGTATTCAACCAAGCCGTCGATTAAAAACATATATTAGATTTTACAAAATATTTTGAAAGACATTTTTCTCTTTTGTCAATGAAGCAATATTATAAATAAAAACTGCGCTTGCTAAATGTAGTGGACAAAAGGGTTTTGCTGCTAATGTCTAATGTGTGGCATTATCAGTAGCTTATGGGTTGCTAATGAAGGCTAATGATCGATATTCATATATAACGGACATTATTGAGTCAATTCACCGTCTTGATGTTAAGGCAGTACTTGTTCTTATATGTTCCTGCTATTACCCTAGGCTACTTACATGCACTGTTACAGCGCATTACCAAAGACAAAGAGGCAGGGGTGTAATTATTACGTTGCTGTTTGTTTTTTCTTCTTCCAGGATGACATTATAGACGATGTGGGAGACTTTGTTGCTGCTGCAGAGATCCTGAAAGAGAGAGGAGCGTATAAGATTTATATCATGGCCACACACGGCTTACTGTCGGCCGACGCTCCACGCCTCATCGAGGAATCCGCCATCGATGAGGTGAGTCCGCGGCAACGCTTTTTTACAATATTGCGTAGTTAAGTTAAATCAGTAAAAGCAGTTATTGTTTTTGTTTTTTTTATGAATGTGTTGTGGCAAACCTGTAAAATATAAATAAGGAAGTAACCAAAGGCCAATTTATTTTAAACCAGCCAACACCAACATCTTTTGTTTTCATTTGTTCTTTATGAACGCAATGTGAAACAAAGAAAGTTGATACTTCCTTCTAATGTTCTTCTTTTGCGGACTTGTTATGTTACATGACATTAGCTCTAACGACAATAAGGAAAGTAGCATTGTGTTGCAGTTGTATTTGTATTTCTGTACATTTTCAGTTCCTCCTAACTATACAGGTTTAAAAAAACAATAGTTACCGTCAACTTGTTGTGTTATGGTCAAATCTGATTAATAGCAATATACTGGAATAAAAAGGTGTTTAATTTCACCTGCAGTCAGTTTCTAAGTGTTTAAAAGAACCATGTTTACCTGTTATGCTTTTGCGGGTTACCCTTTCCTGTAGTAGTGTGTTATAAAGGATTTGTGTGCATGTAAATGGTCTGCAAAGGATAAAATCCCAAAGTTCCCTTTCTGAGTTTCTCTCCCCCCCCTGCCTGAAACGCCTCCATTGCACTCTTTTGTTTTATAACACAGTGACATCACTGCTTAACACTTGCGCTTATTGGCTAGCGCTCCAACACTCTAAACTGTTGACCAATCATAACCGCTGACTGGGCTCTGAAAATTAGCACAATTGGGCCCCCTTCAATCTGTGATCCTGAAGATCTTTTGTTTATCAGCATGAAAATAATGCACCTTTTTTTTTTAAGTCCACAATCTCTTGTGATTA